TTGCTTTCAAAAGAAATTATCCAAAGGAAATGTACAGAGAACAGAATTAGAAAATAAGCATGCTAATGTTAGAGTGTAAAGGATTAAACCAATCAACAACCAATCATACAAAAACTGTACAAAACAAAACAAAATTTCTTACAGTGCTGAAAGCCCAGCAAGATCCACATTGCCCTTGATTCTTGACCTCAGTTACGTAACCTTTCTTCCTCCAATCAACAGTGTCTGGCAGCTCAATATTGCTTGGTGGCAGAAATGTAGTTGGACCTTCTTTGCCCTTGGTGTCCTTGAGAGCTTTGTTGTAGCCATTCAAAGTCAAATGAACTTCTTTACTTGTCTACATAGAAACATAACCAAAAGAGACACATGTTAACCCTTGAACTCCCATGAGTGACCAAGAGAGAATTTCTCCTTACAATATCAATACAATATCAACCAAATAAGTAATGAGAATAAGGAAAAGTATCAATTTGGGGATAATTAATGATTGTAGATGTATGAAAATCATATCTGTGCATCACGGTGAAGAAATGAACATAAGAGATCCTCACAGCTATAAACACTACTGAACTTGTAGTTGAGATAAGTCCTGAAAAAAAATTCAGGCCCGTACAGGATTTGAACCCATGACCTTGGCAATACTGGTGCAGTGCTCTGGTCATTATGTTGGGTCCAAATAAACCATCCAAGTGATGAATAATAATTGTAGATATATGAAAATTAGTTGGTCCAATACAAAATTCTCTGAACTAATATTAAAAGAATTGTATGGTTGACAGTTAAGAGAATTACAAATTTGATCTAGCAGTTACAAGGTTAATAGACAAACAGAGTATTTTAATGGCAAATTTGGAGAATTGAGGGAGGGAGGGAGGGGTTTTTGAGACTTGTCAGAGATTAGAATTTATCAAGACTGAGGTAACACATGCAGTGAGGTTATGGAAATAGATATTCAAATATCAAATGCCGAAAAAATAACTAATGTATTGCTTATTTCTATATTGATTCTTGAAAAAAAGGAATTTTTAAAGAAATATCCAAACTTGTAATAAACTGCACACCAAAAATACTAGATAAAAGATTTCAGGGCCAAAACCAGAGTCCTCTTGAAAACTACAAACACTGGAAAACTGGTGTGAACCAGGCAGGATCCAAGTTTTCAAAAATGATATTATGATGATTATCAGTTTCGTTCACCTTTTTACTAGCAGAAGTGATTAATATTCAATTTCTCCTCATTATATTCGTACATTATTCAGCAAACTAGTCATGAGAATACTCAACCTGGTAAAAATTACCATCGTGACAATCACATCTCAAGAGTGCAAAGGGTGAAAACACAGCTTGCTCACAAAAAGATCACACAGCTTGATAACAAAAATTAGTAATTCATTCACAATCATATCTTAACCCTTTCACTCCCAAGATCTGATTTTCATTTCTCCTCTCTAGCTGCAAGAGATTTCCTATTACATTGGTTATGGGAATTCAGTGTTAGATCAAGATAAAAACTTCTACCTAATAGGTTTGAATATTCTCATAACCAGTTTGCTGGATAATACATGATATTATTTGGAGAAGATACATGTTGATCACTTCTATCACTTCTTTAACATACTCAAGGTTCAAGAAATAATTTTTTTTCAAAATCAAAGCACAACAAAAATTTTTTAAAAAATAATTGTTGTAAACATTTTAATTTTGTGTATCATCTATTATCTTTAATAATTAACTTAATATTTATATAAATTAAATTTGATGTACCATGTCTCCTAAATGATTCATTTGAAGAGTGAATTTGCTGTTTGGGTCAGAATTATGTTTCTTGATGGTCTTCATATTTTCATTCCAAATGGTATAACGTAAACTTTCTTCATCATCTGATTCATATTTCTTGTTATGAAATTCTTTCCATGAGTGCCAGGCATTGTCTTTGATCAAAAGTTCAGACAGTGCCATTGATATAAAAAGAGTCATCAACAGGACAATGGTTGAGTGGGCCATGATGAGTATGTTATTCCTGAAACAAACAAAAAATGAGATAAATTTTGAGATAATTAGCTATATATAAGCTTGTGGCTGAAATTATGATTTAACCCTTTAAATCCCAAGTTTTGATTATTAATTCTCCTCTCTATCTGCTAAACATTTCTTTGTAAATTATTTACAAGAATTTAGTGCAAGATCAAGATAACAAACTCTTCCCGATAAGTTTGAATATTCTCATTACTTGTTTACCAGATAATGTCTAATTCCCATTAGTTTCAAGTCATATTGATATAAAACCCAAAAACTTAGCTCTTAAACACCTTTACCACGAGAAATTAAAGCCAAGACTAACTTTTAATCCTAGATTAATGTTAAACCCCTTTCGAACAACCAGACCTAGGAGAGGACTGTGTGATTTGGCTTTCATTTTTGTGGAGTCATAATTTGGAAAAAGCATATAAAAGTATAGGTTACAATACGCGATTTCCATTAATCAAGCTATTATTTTCATTTTCTGGTGTCAAGCTGTGTTTTACTTAATGTTTTATCACAAAGAAACAATCAGCAAGAGATTTTTAGTTTCGAACAGCTTCAATAACCATTAGAAACAGAAAAATTCCAGTTTTCAAATGAGTAACACCACATATTGGATCAGTTTTTTTAAGTTTAAGTTTTTCAGATTTCCGTTGGTAAAATGATTTTCCCTCATCAAGTTTGTCTGATTTGTCTGTCAGCAAATGGTGAAACTTTCAGACTAAGAAAACCAAAAAGATTGTTGTTTCGCTTTGTTCTGCCCTATGAATTTATACTAATACACTGAACACCTCTGAACTAAAAAAGTGGACACGAATTAAACCAAACTGTTGAGCTCACAGTTAAAATGCAGCATGTTTTAGACTTTCGTAAAGCGCTATCATAGAAAACTTGCTCCACATAAAGTAAATTTAAATCCATTCCTAAATTACACGAACTCTCCAGAGTAAATCAAGTACAAAAGAGAAAGACTAGAAATAATTACTACTGTGAAGATAGGAAGAAGCAGATTAAGAATCAGGCAAGCTCCATCTACAATTAGTCAATACAAAACAAAGATTGGACGAATTCCACAAACAAAACACACTTGTCGCTGGCGCTTGAAAGAAATTTTCATCCATTCACAGCGGGGGCAAAGCAAGTGGAATGATCCCAACTCCGTTTATTTTCAGATAGATGTATTCTGCTTTGTGGAGAAACCTACAATCAACTCATAAGTTTGAAATTGATCATCGAATTATCTCAGGGAAATTTAAGGGAAAGGAAATCATAAAAAGGCATATATATATATATAGCATCGTTAACGTTTGAGATTGATCGCTAAGTTCTTTTTTGAAGAACATCTAAAAAGAATTACATAGCTTAAATAATTAACCATGCTATACTACAGAACATCTTGGTAAACAAATTAAAGGAATAATGAAGGTTTTTTTTAGATCTAATCATTCTTACCAGAACTCGAAGTCTTCTCCTCTATGGAATGAATGGGTCTGTGAAAAAAGAAAATGAGTATCGGGTTTTGTTGCAATATTGAGCAAAAGAAAGGAAAAAACTCGTGACTTAAGTGATCTCGTGACGCAGCGAATAACTTATCAATGACGCCCAAGGTTATTTGAAGAAAATCTGCGATCAGTTCTTCCTGTGTACCTGCAGACACCGCCAAAATTAAAAATTACACTAGAAAATATGGAAGACAAAGGAAATCATACAACTTACCTTACTTAACAAAAGCAGTAGTTTGGGGGGAAGTCAGAATGTTTAATCTTTGTTTATGTTGATACTAATGCCGTTGCCGCTGATCTATGTGATGTATGTCATGTGACTGGTGTCGTTCACAGGTCTCCCAATCAAAGACTTTCACAGTTATCCCAATAAGGAACTCGTGTGTCCTTCAATCGAAAACCGAAAGGAACGAACGGTCAGTTTTATTTTCGAGTTTGTTTGCTTGCAATCGGTTTTAAAAAAGAGAATTTTGCCAAAGAAAAAACTGACATGGGTGAAAAGAATGGAAAAAGAAACTGTTTCCCTCTAGAGCTTTGAGAGCCAGCACCTTATTACATTGGCTTTGACCACGGACTTCCTTGTGATGGTTTTAAGTTTAGAATTTTCTACCGCGCTCATGTATTAGTCACAAGCGCTTTAGGAAAACACTTGTGCCCAGGTTGACGATAATCAAACGAGAGTCATAAATAGCAACCAAGCAAAAGTTGAGAAATGATCGGTGGATCAAATTTTATTTGTTTATTTCTATCTTTGCCTGTTAAAATCTCAACCATATAAAATCTGTATCAACGCTTAACCCTTTAACTCCCATGAGTGACCAAGACAGAATTTCTCTCTACAACATCCATGCAATTTCAGTCAGACAAGTGATGAGAATAAAGAGAAATATCAATTAGGGGATTATCAGTTGATCCAGCAACAAATTCTCAGAACTAAAATCATAAGAATGGTACAGAAGTCTGTAAGGAGAATTACTGATGAGATCTTGGGAATGAAAGGGTTAAGCAATGAAAAGATAATGCAATGAAAATGCTTACAGCAAAGCTAAACCTCTTAATTGTATTGAAGTGTTCAACATCTTTTATTTTTGCTACATAATCAGTACAGACAAAGCTGGTATACAAGGAAACTTCCTTTAACTTAAACATAAGATCATCAAAATGTTAACCCTTTACAGCCTTATATCAGTATGTGTATTCTCCAAACAGTTCTCTATGTATTTCTTTAAGTGCTGACAAAGAGAATGAGTTTAGCAATCAAGAGTTTCTCTAATTAGTGATCTGTGACTTGAATATTTGACTTAGAGGTGATATTGAGAGGAAAAATTAGATGCAAGTCAATCCTAAGGGAAAAAGGGGCAACAAATTTCAGAAAAAAAAGATTGTTTGTCTTTTATTTCCTAGTTGGAGGAAAGTTAAATAAGGAAAAAAGTTGAAAGAAGAATCCAGTATGTAACTACCATATGAAATAGAAACATTCCTTTCTCATTGAAATATATTAAATATCTCTTAAATAGTGCTTATCAGCTTGAAATGGAAATATTGGTTCCACTGACGTATATAGCAGGTCGATACCAATCTTGTAGACTTCCAAAAATACAATTCATTTGATCCAAGAGAAAATGTGCCAGAAATCTATTATCAAGATACCAGTCATAAAAAATATATATCAACAATAAGAGAAATTTTTTAAATTTGGTGAGAATATTTTGCTCTGATTATCTTACAAATATGAAAACCAAATTAATTTACAGTAATTATAAAGCAATATATTTCTTTTAATAGCCTGAATTTGCTGCATTTCCTATCACACCATCATCAGCAGCTCATCCTAAACCAAGGGGTAGCTTGCTGCGGTTGCAACTCCACATTTGTTGTTCTGGTTTCGAGCAATTTTGATGAAGCCCTCCTCTCCCCATGCTGTCCCCCAACTGAAAAATGATTTATAAAAGAAATTAACTTTCACTCTCCTGTTGTTTATCATCCTGACAAGTTCTCATAGCATTCATCAACTTTACCATAAGATGGAAAGTATAGTTCTACCAAGGGTCTGCTCCCACAAACATGCATACACCCTTCAATCCTGAATCCTGGTTGCCATACATAAGGCTTCCTCACTTCCATTGCATATTACAAAATCTCTTAACAAACCTGTTCTTAATCAGCCAGTAGTCCTGTCCATCCTCATTTCCATATCCCACCACAAGGACACCATGATCAAGTTCAGTGCTACTACAAGAAGGGTCATCATAAACCCCTGAGTGATAAAAATGAAATGAGCTATGGCTGGCATCAATTGCTACTGAGATGGGACCAACTGATGCTGAAGCAGCTTGTAGGGCAGATTCATCACCAGATGTGATATCCATATAACCAGTGTCTGTTGCACCAACATCAGAAACGTTAAAGTGACAAGTGCCGACCTACATGTAAAAGAGAGATTGTTGTGGAGAGTTAACTCTTTAACTCCAATGAGTGACTAAGACAGAATTTCTCCTTACAATATCAATACAATTCCTAGCAGACAAGTAATGAGAATAAAGAAAAATATCGACAAGTGACTTATTAGTTGATCCCATACCAAATTCTCCAAACTGACATCATAAGAATTGTAAGGGGACAGTGGGGAGAAAAAATTATGAGATGTTGGGAGCTAAAGGTTTTTAACCCTTTCACTCCCACAAGTGATCAAGACAGAATTTCTCCTTACAATATCAATACAATATCAAACAGGCAAGTGATGAGAATAGAGAGGAATGTCAATCATGGGATGATAAGTTGATCCAATACCAAATTCTCTGAACCAACATCATAAGAATTGTATGGCAGATAGTAAGGAGAATTACTAATTAGATCTTGGGAGTGAAAGGGTTAAGTGTCCAATTTACCCTTTGACTTACTGCTATTTTGACTACAAAACAGCTTGTTTTTTGCTGTAAGACAACTTGGTTTTGGGATTCCTAGGAGAATTTAAGAACAGTACCTGCGTAAATTTTGGTGTCCAAATCAGATGTATGATGGGCAATGTGAAAATATGGAACATGAGATTCCACATGCATTTATTTTGAACAGTGTGAATCATGAATTGGAGGGAAAAAGCTGACTGTGTCAAAGTCTAGGATATCTAAAAATGAAGTAACTTAACTGAATATGAATGAAACAGAAACTCTTTTACCTGTGCTTGATAAGGGTAGGAAATTTCTGTGTCAACTCCATCATTGCTTTTGATGTACTTAAAAGCGTTGTCCATCAAACCACCATGACAACCATTGTTACCAAATGCTGATGAACAATCAACCAGATTCTGTTCACTGAGAGAGACAAGTTTTCCAGTCTTCCTAAAGTGCTGTCCTTCCAGAGCTCCAGTCTGGGGAAAGAAAGAAAAGATGATTAGATCTTCCTATATTTGCTTACAGTTTTTCAAAAGATTATTTTTATGAAGAGGAACTTTTAACGGAAAACTATTGTAATAGTCGTCAAAAGGAACCAGCTGACAGAAGATTGCTACCAACTTCTATATATTTACTGACTATTCTATATAATAATTATCCACAGTGAAAATCAAAAGCAAATCTTCAAGTTAAATTTCTTTTAGCAGAAATTGTGGGAATAAAGACAATGTCTTAAAAATGTCTTAATCCCCTGAAAATCCTCTAAATTAGCTCTTGATAAGGAGCCTAGAGAGAGCTAAAAAGAGGATTTAGGAGCATTTGAATATTTTTTGGAAGAGCATGCTCCAAACTAACTATGATACTTGTGCTTTTAGCACTTAACATGATGCCTGGCACTTCATTACTGCAACTGTCTCCTTTAAAACTTTCCACCAGCCCTCACACAATGCTGATAGAATTAAATAATTACCCCTTTACACCCTAATTCATATTCTGTATACTTTTTCAATCATTTTCTGAGGAGCTGATAAGGAGAATTCCATTTTGTTTATAACAATCAATAGCTCCTTTACACTTAGTGTGTAATTTCAGATGTGATGCTGTAAGAGGAAATAAGATGGTAGTCACTCTAAAGGGTCAAATACTTACTGTGCTGAATGCCCAGCAAGATCCACAATGCCCTTGGTTTTTAACAGGTGTAACATAACCCTCCTTTCTCCAGTCAACAGAGTCAGGAACCTTCAAATTTGATGGTGCCAGAAATGTGGGGGACTTTTCTTTAGAGCCTGTTGAACTCTTCTTCATCTTGAAACCATTCAACAATTCCTTTACTTCACGAGATGTCTAAAATATAAATAAAATATAAATGCAATTGTGTTTTTTGAGACAACAGCTGACAAAAACTGAAATTTCAAGCCCAAATGTGCTATGTATGTATACATCACAACTGTGGGCTTGCAAAGGCAATCATGTTTGGCTAATCTTGATGCTTGAAAAATTTAAACCGTAAACAGCCATACAGACACATCAAGGTAACAAGGTAGCCTTTATAACAATTTAATAAAAGTCAGTTTTCAGGGAAAGATCAGATGAATCTGAAAAGAATGATCTGAAAAAATTTGCCATGAGAGAGGAACAACACATTCATATTAACACAACAGTACACTATAAAGCAAAAAAAGTTCTAAGAATAAAAAAATATCAAATAAGGGAGATTGATCAATCCCACAACAATTCTCAAAACTAACACAATAAGAAAAATAAATGGTGGATGGGAAGGAAAACTGATGTTGAGATCCTGATCATGGATGGATTAACCCTTAACTACCAAGATTTGATTGTTAATTCTTCCCTCTGGCTGCTACACTTTCCTTGTAAATTAGTTATGAGAACTTGGTGCCAGATCAAGATGGCAGGTTCTACCTGATAAGTTTGAATATTCTCATTACCTGTTTGCTGAATAATGTATGGATGTTATAGGAGGAAGTTTCATGTTAATCACTTCTGGGAGTTCAAGGGTTAAACTTACCAAGTCTCCAAGGTGATTCATAGCTAGTTTGTATTTGTGAGCCTGGTTGTGAGAGACAATCCTCTTCAAGTTATCTTGCCAGATGAAGTTGCGTATTCTCTCTTCATCAACATTTTCATACTCTTTATTGTGGAATGATTTCCACACCTTCCAGCTTGGATCTTCTAGTGCATCAAATTCTTGTTTGCCAGCTGGCCAGGCTAATGAAATTCCAAGAGAGATTGCTAATAGAACTAAACACTTCATGATGAATCTGCAGTAAGGGAAGAAAAGATCAAAGTTTAATTCATTCATTGCCATGATCAAATCACCAACTCTGCTTTCTAATGCTTGTTATCCTTATGTGCTTGTTGCGAGATTTAATATTTATGTCTGAGAATCAAGCTATACAGGAAGACATGACTAAGCATTTGATAATCACTCCTGCTGAGGGGCAAAGGGCAAAGGGCATCAACCATGAAGATCCACCAGACTCTATTAATGGCAAATCAATAAGGGGGTAAATTTCTAAAAATGCTGTGGTGCTGTGTCGGCAGGAGGTATTATAAGATAATATCACTTTATCAACTGAGTTGATACAGCAAATTGACAACTGTAAAGAGCTTCTAAAGCTGATGTTCCCAGCATTAGCCCTTTATGAGAGTGAAAAGAAGAATTGTAGATTGTGTGTGATTTTTAAACAGAAAGGCTATTCGAGGGAACATGACATTTCTCTTTGCCTCCCTCCAGGTAAAATTATTCTCAGTGAGCTTGTCTTAAACACAAGTATGGGGAGGTTGAAGAGATTTACAACTAAGAAAATAATGTCACAGTCACAAGATCTCCTTAAATTCTCTTAAACAGTTTACCCTGGTTTCAACTATACAGTTCCTTGCAAATCATGTTGAAAAATTGTTTTTGTTCAATCAAGGAACTCACTTCAAGCTGATCAAGTTACCTATTCTCATCACCTGTTTAAAAGATATTGTATGGATATCTTGGGGAGAATTTGCAAGTTAATCATCTCAAGGAGATAAAATGTCACTGAAAATCACTGACTCATCACCTCAGATGTTAGCCAGCAAACATATCATTAGCTTATGAGGTATTTTTGGCACATGGTCCTTCATTTTACTTGTCCGAGTTCAGCCAAGCAGCTTAAATCTATGATGTAGCACATCAGTACTGCAAATCTTTCTGTCCAATTTCTTTAGCACGTGATGTAATGCAAAGAGTGCAAGTAGTTGAGAGTGTTTTCCGTTTGCGTCGTTTTTGAATAAAAAAATCAAAACCAGAAATCAGTTATCTTGAAAGCGTCAATAAATTAAGTGCACCTGAAGGGAGCGATCGCGCATTATATATATATTTTTAAATTTAAGTTTTGCCATTGACTTGTAATCATTGAATGACTGGATGTACCACTGTGTTACGTGCTAATATTTCAGAGCGTAAACGATTACTAACGCCGTCTATTTCAGTATCATGCCCTTGACGATCAAACTGAAATAGTTCAGGGGAAATCGCGAAAATTTGAAGCGAAAGTGAGCGGTTAAAAAAAATTGCCGGTACATCAGGGTAAGGATAAGGCTTTTACGACAACATTCTACAACTCTGTTGATTAATTGATTGATGCTCAAAGTGCTAAAAAACAGCTTACACTTCCCAAGATTGATTAAGAAACAATAAAGAAAAGCCAATACTCACCTTCTGAACTACAGGAATATTTCCTAGCTGAAGAAATAACGGAGAACGTGCCCAAAATTCTGAACAGTTTCTTTGTCGTAGTGCAGCACGCTAACATAGTGTTTTTATCCTGTTGGTTTCAGTCATGCTGTCATGCATATGATTGGATAATGAAATTTTCGCGTAATCTGATTGGTCAATTATGACTTGCATCATACAACCCGCGAGTCACGAGACTCTCATAGGACTGTCACAAGATTCCCGCGCTTCATATTATAATTAGCAACACCTACGTAGTTTTCCCATTAATCTACATCCCGTTCGTCCTTTTTCTTTTACCCCGTGGGAATCTTGCAAATGAAGCAATCGGCTGATAAAATGTATTTAAGACTCAAGCTATACCTTGTCTAAATAACAAAATAATTGATGTACAAGTAATTTTTAAAATCGTGAGTAAAAAGTAATTTAGAACTTACCGGTGTTTTTTCATTGCTCTCTTTCGCGCCTTGCATGGTGTAATAACACAGCGATCCACACGTTCAAGCGGTTACTGAACAG